ACTTAATACAGAGGACTAATGACAACAACCAGAAACAGCTGATCACATGGGGATCCCACACGAGGTTAACGAGGGGGCGTGGCACACGGAAGGAGTACACGATCGGGGCAGGACATGGGTAATGTTGAGATAAGATCTTTATTGTTTTGGAAGCCATTAAGAAAAAAATTCTCTTCTTGTTTTATCCTGTTCATTTTGTGTTTAAATGCTAATAATAATAAAAAAAACATATTTAGGTGAAATTTTGGGGGGCCGGGAACCAATTAATTGGTTTTCCATTTTTTCTTATGGGAAAAATTTGATCAGAACTCGAACTTTTTAGGATTCGATAAGGAGTCCGGAACGGATTAAGTTTGAGAACCGAGGTACCACTGTATTCAGAAAATCATCTCATACCCCATAATTTGAGAAAGGAAATGGCGATGTCTCAGAATTTCACCCATACAACGTGTCTGCAAAGTTTGGTAGAAATCAGACAAATAAAAAAGATCTGGCAAAGAAGGTTACTTATCAGATGTCTCAGAACGAAGAAGGGACTGATAATGGAAGCTAACAACAAACAATGTAGATCATTAGTTTAAATGAATAAGGACAGTATATTAATTGGTAATGGAAAAGGAACAGAGGAATGGACACAACCACTCCCAATGCGCACAGCAGCAGCATCTGCCCATCCTGTTTTGTATCAAGATTATAATCGCAGCTCCCCATTTGATTCAACAGCTCCCCATTGGATTGCAACATCTTACTCATACATGCAGCCACAGCGTAGCCTGTCTCACAGCCTCACCACTGCTTCTCCAAAGGCAGAGTGCGGTTGACCAGGTTCGCCTCTGACTCCGAGCTGGAGGACAGCGAGCTTTTCAAGATCTTTTGGCTCCAGCTCTTCTGCCGCAGGTGCTGGTGGCGGCTTGGATGCGGAAGCTCCTCCCTGACAGTGGTAGGGCTGCCTTTGGGAAAGAGAGACAAAGTGAGAGAGACAGACAGAGACAGAGACAGAAAAAAAAATATATATATATACTGTATATATATAGAAAGAAACAAACAAACACAGAGAGGGAGAGAGAAAGAGATGAAGGCCCCAACTTTACTGCTGAACTCAGTGTCTGTCTCCAGGAGCCTGGACCTGCGGACTTGCACAGCATCTAAGTGTGTGCTGTATAATTAGTGTGTGCCTATACAGCTATTCCAGTGAAACCCCACTGAAATGTGGACTTATTTCAGGCTATTCCCTTTTTTGTTTTGTCTTTGCTAGTGTGTTGAAATACGTTTCCAAGTGAACTTTTCACTATGACCTAAGCCACCATTTAACATTTCTTACACCTGGGATCTCCTTTCCTGGAGCCGACACCTTATCGTGGTGGAGGGCCTTGCGTGTTCCAATGATCCCAGGAGCTAAGTTGCCCGGGGCTTTTTGCCCCTGGTAGGACACACCCACGGCAAACGGGTCCTGGGTGAGGAACCAGATGAAGTGCGGCTCATCAGTCCCCTTATGATGAGTAAAAACATCGATTCACGTTTTCCCTTGCCCAGACGCCCTGGAACCAGGCCTGGTGGTGGGGCTCGATGGCGACCACCTGTTCGCCTGCACCCATGGGGCCTGGTTGGGCACAGCCCGAAGGAGGCACGAGGGTCCCCCCTCCAATGGGCTCACCACCTATAGGAGGGGCCAAAGGGGTCGGGTGCAGTGTGAGTTGGGCAGTGGCTGAAGGCGGGGACCTTGGTGGTCCAATCCACGGCTGCAGAAGCTAGGTCTAGGGACATGGAATGTCACCTCTCTGGTGGGGAAGGAGCCTGAGCTAGTGCGCGAGGTTGTGAAGCATCAGCTTGACGCACGGCTTGGGCTCTGGAACCAGTCTCTTTGAGGGGGGTTGGACCCTCTTCCATTCTGAAGTTGCTCACGGGGAGAGGCGCCGAGCAGGGGTGGGCATACTTATTGCCCCCTGGCTGGGTGCCTGTACATTGGAGTTTACCACGGTGGACGAGAGGGGGCACTCGCCTTCAAGTGGGGGGATGGGTCCTGACTGTTGTTTGCACTTATGCGCCAAACGGCAGTTCGGAATACCAACCCTTTTTGGAGTCCTTGGAAGGGGTGTTGGAAAGCAATCCTCCTGGGGACTCTCTTGTTCTGCTGGGGGACTTCAGTGCTCACATGGGCAATGACAGTGAGACCTGGAGGGGCGTGATTGGGAGGAACGGCCCCCCTAATCTGAACCCGAGTGGTGTTTTGTTATTGGATTTCTGTGCTCGTCACGGATTGTCCATAATGAACACCATGTTCAAGCATAAGGGTGTTCATATGTGCACTTGGCACCAGGACACCCTAGGCTACAGTTCGATGATCGACTTTGTGGTCGTGTTATCGGACTTGCGGCCGCATGTATTGGACACTTGGGTGAGGAGAGTGGCGGAGCTGTCAACTGATCACCACCTGGTGGTAGGTTAGCTCCGCTGGTGGGGGAGGAAGCCAGTCAGACCTGGCAGACCCAAGCGTATAGTGCGGGTCTGCTGGGAATGTCTGGCGGAATCCCCTGTCAAAAGGAGCTTCAACTCCTACCTCCGGCAGAACTTCACCCATGTCCGGGGGAAGCAGGGGACATTGAGTCCGAATGGGCCATGTTCCGCGCCTCCATTGTGGAGGCGACTGACCGGAGCTGTGGCCGTAAGGTGGTCGGTGCCTGTCGCGGCGGCAATCCCCGAACCCACTGGTGGACAAGCTGAAGAAGGAGTCCTATCTGGCCTTTTTAGCCTGTGGGACTCCGGAGGCAGCTGATGAGTACCGGCGGGCCAAGCGGAACGCAGCTTCGGCGGTCGCTGAGGCAAAAACTCAGGTATGGGAGGAGTTTGGCGAGGCCATGGAGAACGAATTCTGGACGGCTTCGAGGAGATTCTGGAGAATCCGAGACCATGGTCCTCAGCCGGAAAAGGGTGGAGTGTTCTCTCTAGGTCGGGGAGGGGGTTCTTCCCCAAGTGGAGGAGTTTAAGTATCTCTTGTTCACGACTGAGGGAAGGATAGAGCGGGAGATCGACAAGCGGATCGGTGCGGCGTCAGCAGTCATGCGGGCGCTGCATCGGTCTGTCATGGTGAAGAAGGAGCTGAGCCAAAAGGCAAAGCTCTCGATTTACCAGTCGATCTACGTTCCTACCCTCATCTATGGTCATGAGCTGTGGGTAGTGACCGAAAGAACAAAGTCGAGAATACAAGCGGCCCAAATGGGTTTCCTCCGCAGGGTGGCTGGGCTCTCCCTTAAAGATAGGGTGAGAAGCTCAGTCATTCGGGAGGGACTCAGAGTAGAGCCGCTGCTCCTCCACATTGAGAGGAGCCAGATGAGGTGGCTCAGGCATCTGCTTAGGACGCCTCCTGGACGCCTCCCTGGTGAGGTGTTCCGGGCATGTCCCACTGGGCAGACCAAGGACATGAGGTCCCGGGGCAGACCAAGGACATGCTAGAGAGACTATGTCTCCCTCCTGGAATTCAACCAGAGGAGCTGGATGAAGTGACATGGAAGTCTGGGTTTCCCTGCTTACACCACTGCCCCCGCGACCAAACCCGGAAAAGTGGAAGATAATGGATGGATGGATGGGTGGATGGACACCAGGGATGTAGGATTAGACAATGGGAGTATTACCAATTAGAAACTGGATTGGCCCAGCCTTGACTTTCCATGCAAAGATGAGAATATTGAAAAGTTATTAAATATTGCATACCAACTGACAGAAAACACTGTTGTTCAGAGCGGAAAGATTTAAATCTCCATAGACTGCCAATACAAAACCGAAATAGATGTCTTTTGATTATATAAGAAGGTGACAATTTTGTGAAAAGGGCCTGTTCTCTGTTATTTTTCTGGAGGAATTTCCGTTTAAGCCTTCTACTCCAGGGTACAACAGCATGTTCAGTTTCATGGTCCATATGAAGTGCTTTAACAGCTGTGCTTCTGTACCTGGCTGTGTCTTCATTAGCTGTTCCTTCTTCCACTCCCAAGGTAGCTCATACTCGCCCGCATCTCCGAGATCCTCTGTGTCTCCCTCGTACGGGACATCATATATCTGGGGAGCTGGGGGTGGCCGAGCCTCCTCAGTGGGCCCCTCCCCACCCTCCATCTGGACACAAATCTTCAACAGGTCCTTGGATCCTCTCCGTCGAATTTCTGAAGCAAGCAAAGTACATAGGGCAGTTGGTAGGGGTAGGCAGTAAAGTTAATCTCCAACAGCATTTCCAGATTTTCACCTGAACTGTTACTTTAAGGAGGGGGGGGGGGTAAAGAGCATGCACTGGTTACAGTGCTTTGCCACACCCACCACACAACAAACCACCTCAGGGATGAGAACCTGAGTGCAGCCATGCGGCAGGTGATACCTCAGCACCACACTAGTCCGAATGGACCAGTGAGTTATTTTTTTTCCCAGTGGCTGGAGTGCCAATCCTCCAAACCCCCAAGTTTTTCCCTGCAAGTTGGAGGACCTCCTTACAGGGCTGGATGTAGATTAACATCATACCCAGGACGAAGCAATTGCAGGTTAAGCTCAAGGGCCCAATGGAATAGAATCACTCCGGGCATTCATGGGGTTTGAGGCAGCAAATTTCCAGTTGCTGGCACAGATCCCTAGCCTCAGAGCCACCACTGCACACAATCATTTCTAATATACCTCCATATGCCAGCTAGGAGTTCTTCCTGTTTTCCCATAACTGGAACAAAACAATAAGCAGTTGTCTACATACATAAATTGTTGGTAAAACATACAAATTTTGCATTACCATAAAACAAAAAAGCACAAAATTAACTTTCCAAAATAAGTTTAAGAGACCACACGCCTGCATAATGGCAGAACGCAGTGGTTTCATAAGAAATGCCATGAATAACAATATGTGTCAGACCTATTGTATGGCTGTTTAGCCTGAGACAATGGAGTGAATGGAGAGAAAGGTCAAGCAGCCATATGATTGGACAAGTGATTGGCTTCTTCCTGAATTCTGGAAAGTTATTAGAAGTGTAGGGTATAGATGGGCCTTCCCACATGTGGGTGTACGTACAGTAAGAGCGCGAGGACTGGGGGGGCAACTTCCTACAGATAATAGGACTGGGAAACAGAGACAGGAAACAGGATGCAGGGACAGGAAACTGCACCCATTGTCCCAGAACAATACGGTTGCCATGGCAATTTTGGAGGAGCCAAAAGTTTTTCACGCTGCAGGTTGCTGGCCTTCTGAGTTCAGTGCACGTGTACACACACACACACATACACACACACCTGTTATCATCTGCTGGGCGTCATATGGCTCCACATATCCATCATTTTCTCCTACACGCTCTGCCTCCCTCTGTTCCCGGGTCTTCTGAGCATCAAAGGGGTCAGAGTAGTCTTCAAGAATGATCACCTGGATGAAAGATACGGCCACAGGACATGGGTCTTTACATATCCTAACTCCAGCAGACTAACCTAAAATACTGTATCCCCATAGGTCTCATACTAGGTTCAATGAGCAGGCGTCACCATGTGCTGAATGCATTCAACAGCATGTAAGCATTCACAGAGCTAATACAGCCACTGGCATCTCACAGGCTAGTGGCCACAAGCACACTGAGATGGCCGGAGACAGGCAGAGCATCAGGGCATGGAGATTTGGGAAACAAACAGAGCTGAGATTACTTATATTTCGGATGTGTGTGTAGCCCCAGAAAATACACGCAACCCTGGTCCTGAGGAAGAGACTCTTTTCACATGCATTCACACTCATTCTTAAGATGGATGCTCATCTCTAGAAAAATTAGCTATCCTTATCTGCATGAAGGTCCAGGTGCACTAGTATAGCTTTTTTTCAGTACTGGTCCTCGTTGATGTGGCATCCTAGGCAAGCATATACAGCGGTGCCACCCTTTTCCGAGGCAATGTTAAGTTGGCTGGCAGGTCAGCACCTCTATGACGCCAATAGGCTTGACCAGCCCTGAGTTTTACCTGGAAGTACAGATATGCCTTTTATTTCAAATTTGAGTCCTGCTACAGGGTCCTTTCCAGTCATTTGAAATTTTAACCTTTCACTTACACGGCAAGTTCGTCGACCACCAGACTGCGTAATCTCTTCTGCTAGGCTCCTAAAAGACACTGTGATCATGCTCGGTAAAAAAATGCAAAAGAAAAAAAACTGAAGAGAAATGAAAGAGGTATGGGCAGACGGAAACTTGACGCCCGGCCATTTATTCTTCTCCTTTATGTGCCTGTCTCTCCCCCATAACAGTAACCCCCTCCCTGCATCTTCAAAGCACAGCCAGAGGCATGCACCTGAACAGAGCGTCAGGTGACACGACAGCCTTCTGAAAAAGGAACTTACGACTAGAATAAAAGAATAAACAATGACAGAGAAAGCGGAGAAAGAGCTTAACTATGTTCAGTTTTACTGTGAATGGGTAAGCTATATCTAACTGGCATTTGCAAAATTATATCACAGGTTCACTCTGATTTGAAAGGATTGGGTGATGAGTGAAATGAGGGCGAGGAATGAGAAAGAGATGAGGGAGGTGGAGGGCAGACAGGGAGGAGTCTGTACAGTATGCTGGAGACAAAAGATGACGAAGAGGAGGAAGAAACAACAATATCAGCTTTCATAGCTACACAACTTTCTTTGGTTGCCTTGACAAAATTTTTAGTCATACAACTTCTTACTTTGCAAGGTGCTATAATGTATTCCACAAACAGTCTAAGTATACATGTAATGATATTAATGTTAATATCTGGCTTCTGGTAATAATTAAATTAAAGAAGTTTACCTTGGTATAATATGGGATTCTCTGAATTGCCACACCTACTACAACAAATTCTGTTCTGCACTAGCTTATGCCAAAACTAAATCCTGTGTATTTTATTATTGTGGTCCAACCCAAAAATATCATTCATTCATGTTAAATCTGGACTACTTCGTATTAATGAGAAATTTCGCCAGTGTTTTCACAATGGGACGTTTTAAAAATTGCTACAAAACACTTTCTCTTCGCATTTTACGCTACTGAGGTAATAACTACATATGTTTCGAAATAAGAAACACATCTGCACATGAGTTTACAATCAATTCACTCACCGTTTCTGATTTGCGAGTCCCCTTTCCTTTTTCGGTTTCCTGTACCACTGGACCTCCGGTACCGCTATTGTAATTTAGGTTTTTGTCCAGTTTGTCTACCTTTATCAACCGATTGATGTATGCGTTTGATGAACTCAAGCTTTTAAGTGGCCGGTGCTCCTCCATTCCCGGGTCGAGTTTGAACTGGTTTTTGCGACTCTTCCCGGGTATGAGACTATCCCAGACCTTTCCGTCCTTAATCGAACCGCCGGTATTAGCTCCGTTCCGTCCCAATTCGACGGCCGAATTTTTCCGATTTCTGACGGACATAAGCGAAGTCATCCCGCCGCCACTCTCAGCTCCCGAGTACTTGCGCTGGCTGCCCTTAGTGCCCACTTTGGTGCCCATGCTGGCTGCGGCTCCAGGCTTGGCCCGAGCGTGCGAGCTTGATTCCGAGGCAGAGCGTATCCTCTCGTTACCGTTCTTCAGGTTGATGGGGAAATCTTTGAACCACTTCGCCATCGTCGCTTATGTATCTGTCTACAAAGTTCGACCTTAGCTATATTTCTCAAAGCCATACACGCTGTCCCGCACTTTAAAGAATTAGCTGTACTCGATTAAGCAAACACGTGCACAGATGTCTTAACAGTTAAATACAGCCTAATGTTATTTCATAGGTGTAAATATTTTAATGCATTATTTCATGGGTAAGTTTTATTGCATATCGTTATTCGTACACAGTAGCCTACTAATCGAACTACTCTTATGAAAGTAGGAAGAGAACAAATTGTTTAAATAATACACTAACAATGCAAAACCGATATAAAGCAATTTCTCATGGGCCACAAGATAGCCTCTAATATTCTTTCTTAACTTCTAACAAGCTATTAATATAGAATCTCGTTTCCTTTATTATTTTAAATCTCTTGTCGTAATACAACCTGATGTTCAAACGATAGACTTGTAAAAGAAAAGAAATAGCAGCCTTATTATAATCACTGTCAAAGATTTCATCCCAGAGTGTCCAAGCTATGCGACTGTCTTCTTTCAACTAAGAGCCCAGGGTCCGAGGCAGCGGAGGTGGGAGAGGGGGTGGGTGTACGTAGTGTAACAGGACGGTGAAGGAATCTAAGGGGACGACTTTGCATTGTGTTAAAACTGTACGAACCCTGGCTTCAAGGGTTTTACAGCTCACCTTCTTACTAAAGTGCTGTAGTTATAAGAATGCGTAGAAAATCATGTGTTTTCTAAGCAGTTCTCATTTTATCTCCCCAAATAAACGTATATTGTTATGGTGCTAATCAACAGCCTGTTTTTAAATATTCCACATGTATTATCAATAACCACCATCTTAAAAAAGTATGAAAATGATTATGGAACGTGTTCTATATTATTGTAAATGTTCTTGTTAATATACATTTAAGCTCACTGAAAAATACGATACTTATAAGTATGTGCCAAGCGTATTTTAAAGGCTATTTTTTACTATATGTGTGTAAATTTGACCGATGTTTGCCCTTAAAAATATATTCCTGGGCGATTTCGTTTGAACACTTCACTTCATTTTCCCTGCCCGTATAATTTGCTGCGTTTTAAATGGTTTCAGCAATTTACTGAGATGTAGTTAAATTATATTTACGGAAAAACTACAGGATCCTACGTGCCTTTTGTGTGTTTTAACTGGGCATGCGTACAAGTGAAGCCGCCAGATAAAGCCATATTATAGAAGTGTCCACCAAAGGCTTCTGGAGACATAACCTAAAATTATGTTGGACTTTTTCTGAAACATAATAATTGTTTTAGTGAAATTTACATAATAACTGCAGAAACAGAAACTCCGCGATGCAGACCTCAGACATTCCGCCCCTACTGTAATGTTTAAAAGTGACCCATCCTCGACTGTTCCAAAACTTCAAAATAAAGTAGGGGTTATGATTCGGGTTGAAACGCAGCTACACACATTGTATTAAAGGTTATACGATGTCTATAGATAAAAAAAAACAAACATTTTTTTTCGTGTTTTAATATATTCCAATGAAGAAATAAAAATGTTCTCGAAGCCATAAAAAATACACGAAATGCCACAGTATCTTGGAAACGGTGTACCCTACAATTTGAAGCGATGGTATTGCTCCAGGGTGCGAGTCCCTCCCGTCGGTCCCTCTTTGTCCGGTGGCGACCGTAGGCTAGATTAAGCTGCGGTTTGTATTCACTTTTGAGTTCATTATTTAGCTGGTTTAGTCGCGACGTAAATTTATTGTCATCCGTGAGGAGCGGGGTATCGGATATGACGGTGAGGAGCGGCGCGTTTTGACTAGCAGGCAGCGAAGGGAGGGACGCTCACAGGGAAATGATGGTTAATGTTGCTTAGCGGGTGAGGCTCGCTAAGACAGCGGCCCCCAGGCTGAGTTGCGACGGCTCGTGCGTTTTGCCGATTCGATCGACGGACGCGGCTAATCACGTCGAAGATTTTGCGGCAAACACGCGATTCGCAAACACTTTTGTCGGTACTACAAAAAAGCCAAACCATGATTAAACGCGTATTGCGGCGTTTTAACTAAAGGCAGAGCATCTGCTAGTGATTATGTTTTAGGAGGGGGTGTTTCGGCGGCGCCCCTGTCTCCATTACCCCCACCCCCCGCCCCCAGTTTTCACCGCCGGCCGGCCTTCTCTTTACCTTTTTAAACTGTTGTGCAGCCCGCAGTTTCGCCGACGTTCGCTGTCTAATCGCGGCTGTTTCGTGGCAAAGGGCCGAGGGTGAGTCCCAACCGTTTGACAGCTGAAAACTTGGCGATCGGGACACGGCCGTCCGCATGATATGAACTGATATCCCAGTTGTCTTGATCGTTCGAGTCCATTCGCCTAATCTAAAGGCAATTTTAGTTATTTAGATTTTTTCTTCTTTGTATACGAACGGTGACATGGCACCGCACCGACAGTCATATTAATGGCTGCCGAATCTGGGAGGCTGCCGGCAGGACAAGGTCAAGGAAAACGGGGCAAAGGTAGGCGTGTGTCCGTCCGTCCCTTTGCCTTCACATCTGATTGGAAATTCTCCTGTAAACCTCAACTTGTACGCACGTACCTGAATGTCTGGTTGTCTGTTTTCCAATGGGTCTGTCTTTGGCTATCTGTCGAGCTTTCCGCCTGCCGGCGTCTCCGCTAGTCTGTCCATTCTCGGTCTCTTATCTTCTTCGGTCACTCGCCAGTCCGTAAGGTACTGTCTGTTTCTGCAGCTACTGATATTGTTTTGTCCATTTTTTATTTTTTATTAAATTAGTTTGTCATGTCTATCTTATAACCCTAACAGTTTGAATAGCTGTCAGCCTCTTTTGTTGTTGTTTGTTGTTGTTTGTTGTTGTTGTTTCCTAAGATTTCCAGCTAGGTGTTGGGTTTAAGGTTTTCAAACATGTCTAGATATCTTTTGTGTGGGTGTCTGTGTCTGTATGCCTCGTCCACCTGCCATTATGCCCTGAGCAAGGGCAAATTTTATGCGGAGGACCCGGACGATTCATACCGTACATGGGAGCATGGCAGTCAGATTTACAGAGGCAGATCGTCACCAAAGGCATGGGGATAGGGAATGCACCATAGACAGGGTGTAGAACTCCCCTGGCACAGTTTGCCATTTGGTTTAGTCTGCCTCTGCAAACTTGATGCTGGACTGGTTGTATTTCTAGTGTGGAAGCTTGCTTTTTGGATCAGTGATGTCCTAGCTGTTAAAACGTGGAACCTGCTCCATGCTTGTCAGACTCTTTAGTGTTAGCTGTAGTGATATCTTAAGGGTAACTGTTCTGAAAAGAAACTGTAGGAGTTTTCTCAGTTTTGTGTGTGTTTCTGAATCCATCTTTTTCTATCCATTTTCTTCAGGTGCACAGATGAAAAGTCCAGAGAAAAAGAAGAGAAAATCCAGCACTCAGGTATTGGCAATGCTTGGAATGTATCAGTGTTTCAGGTCTTCCTCTTGCACCATTTGTCCACATGTTTTAATGTCTCTCTTCTTGTCCCTACATTTTTTTTCCACAAGGGAGCTGCATTTTCCCACCTCTCTGAGTTTGCACCCCCTCCCACTCCTATGGTGGACCACCTTGTCGCTTCCAACCCTTTTGATGATGACTTTGGCCCACCATCACGTCCAGGAGCAGGGGCTGGGGCTCCATTCCTGCCCAGCCCGGGAGGTGGCGGTGCTGGGGGCTATGGAAGTGGGGGCCGGATGGGAGGGGGCATGGGGTTCATGGGAGGTCCGGGGGGGCCAGGTGGCGGGCAGCCCAATCGTAGACCACCTTTCGGGCCCCCGCCACCCAATGCAGGGCCCCATCACCAGCTGGGCTTTGGGGGCATCCCTGGCTTTGGGGGTGGTGGGGGAGGTGCTGGTGGGGGAGGCTTTCCCCCTAGTGGGCCCTCGCAGTTCAGCATTCCCCCTAACTTCAGCCCCCCCATGCACCCCGGCCCTGGGTTCAACCCCATGCTCTCTCCTGGGGGCATGGGTGCTCCAGGAGGGGGGGGTCCCCCACACCCACGTTTCGGAATGCCACCACAACAGCCCCAGCATGGACAAGGGGGTGGGCACCCATTCAACAGCCCCCCCTTACCTGGTGGGGCGGGTCCGAGAGGGCCCCCGCATGGCCCCCTCACCCCCATGGCTGGCATGCCAGGGGGAATCAGCTTAATGGGTGGCCTGGGAGCTGGTGGAGGAGGTGGAGGAAATATGGTGGGGGGGCTTCCTGGATTACCCCCGCCAGGGCCGTTTCCTCCCTCTCAGGATGGGCCCTACCCCGGTCCCAGCCCTCCTGGGGGTGAGGAAGGGAAGAACTTTGGTGGAGGAGTGGGACCACAAAGCATGCCCCCATCTCAGCAGCAGCAAAACTTAAACCAGCCACCCCCTAACAATGTCACCCCCGGGCCGCCCTCGTCCGCTGGGCCCCCACCCCCTCAGCCTGGCGGAGGTGGCTTCCCTGGTCACCCTGATGTCCAGCCACCCAACCCAAATGCAGCCAACCAACCTCCGTCCGTCCCGCCCCCCTCAAATCCCAACTCTTCTCCATCTGCACCTCTGAATGGCCCCCAGCCTCCCCAGCAGCAAGTGTCCAATCAGCTGCAAGGCCCTAATTCTGCAGGTGCTCCCACAGGAAACCCTGCCCAGCAACAGCAGCAGCCCACACCCCCCAGTTCTGCCCCTGGTCCCACTCCTTACAGCCAGCAGAACAGCACCCCGGGCCCGGCTCCCCTGCCCAGCCAGCCACCGGGTTCTGGTCCAGCCACCATGACAAATAATGGCAACGCCAACAGTTCCAGCAGCAATCCCAACCCTCCCTCAAACTCTACTCCCACCCCGAGTACCCAGTCCCCGCTGCCCCCTGGTCCCACCCCTCCATCCGGTGCCGTGCCCGGGCCCCAAAAGCTCGGCGGCGGGATGGTTTTCCCATGCGGCTTCTGCCTGTCAGAGGTTCACGATGACCAAGAGGCCATCTTGTGTGAAGCGTCGTGCCAGCGCTGGTTCCACCGGGACTGCACGGGCCTGACCGAGCCGGCTTACGGGCTGCTGACTCGTGAGAGCGCTGCCGTCTGGGCCTGCGACTTCTGCCTCAAGACCAAGGAGATCCAGGCTGTGTACATACGCCAGGGCCTGGGCCAGCTAGTGGCTGCCAATGAGGGCTGATGCTGTTTCGGGGAGCTTTCTTCTCCCCAGCTCAGTGCCACTGGAGTTTTGTTTTTCTTTTTTGTGTTTTTTTTTTTTATTATTATTATTATTTTAAGAAGTCTCACGAATCGCTCTTTCATTTCTTTTCTGGATCAAGAGACACCCTGGTCATTGCCTTGGCATCCTTTGCATGGTGTTTCCGACCCACTGACGCTGTCCCAAACCGCTACCTCACGTGTGCTGTGACTGACTGTCATGCCGCCTGACCATGTCACAGCATGCACAACCAAGGCCTCCGCTACACGCTTCACCCACGGTCGTCCATGCTTTACCCATGGTCCTTATGGACCTTCAATGTGTCTGGGAAAGACCAGGCTGTATAAAGGTGTAGATATGAACATGTGATGTTTTCCCCCCATTTCACATG